AACAGTTAATTTAAGGGGCGAGAAAAAAACCCGTCAAGAGCAAGCTGAAACTGTGGTACTGAACTTCATGATTTGAAAGACAAATCAAAAATGCCAGCTCACGCTGACTGTTCCTTCCTGCTCGCTACTGCTCGATAACTGCACAGAGGCTTCACAGGTGGCATGCTGGGACGAGGAAACAGTGTAGCAGGAGGAGGAAATGTACACTCTGAGATAATGCCGAGAGAGAGAGAGAGAGAGCTAAGAGGAGCCACCCAGATGGATCTAGCGAACGAAAGAAGCACGGGACGCGAGACAGGAAAAGACTGTTCATGATGCACCATTCCGCAAAAAAAGAAAAAATGAAAACTCACGAGACGGGACATGCTGCATAACCATTCCAGTTAATGAGTCACGCTTGGCAAAAAATGGAGAATCCCGGAAAACACTCCGTTTCCTTTGCAGAGCATTCAACGCATCCTCGCTGATTTGTCGGGCATTTTCCTCTTCCTCCAGTAAAGCCAATTCTAGCCTCTGTTGATGCTGCGGCCACACTTTGTCCATTTGCACTATGCCCCTCAAAATTCAAAATTAGTTTAGTTAATGAAATACCTGTCCTCAAGACAAAAATTTAAGCGCTCGATAAACAAAGAAAGGGCTTGCATTTTGTTCGCCTGAAGAAAAATTCGCGACAACCCCGAATCTTCTACGTAGACGGAGGAAGATCACATCCAGCGGTTCATTAGCCAGTTAAAAAACATCCACATCACTTACTTCCTCTGTTCCTCGAAGACGTAATGAGAACGCCATAAAGAGGCAATCAGTTCCGTAGCAAAAACAACGTCGGCGTGATTGGCAACCATGCGCAGCACAAAAACGCCATCCGTGCCCAAATATTTGCGCAGGAAGCGATCCACCTGCTCTTTGTTTTCTGGAATTACAGAACTGCTTTTGGGAGTAACAACATATGTTTAAGTGAAGACAAGAGCTCCCTTCATCCGTTACCCGCTCACTGTTAATGCATTAAAACCAAAAATACGCATCTGAAAAGAAGCACGAGGAAACTTACTTTAGACGCGGTGAGTTACAGAATAAAGTCCTAGAAAAGATTATGAACAAACGAAATGTACTAAACTGCATTAAGCAAAGAATAAATCGAACTTGTCACACTTAAAATTAAAGTATGGGGTTGCCCATTTAACTATACTTAAGCATTTAATAAAATAACC